ACTCCCTGAGCACAAAATCTGGACCTCCCCCGTGGCGCTGACCACTTCCTGGCCTGTGTGTGGTGTGACCCTCTCTCGGTGCGATTGTTCCCATGTATCCTGCAGGGCCCAGGGCCCAGCATAGAGCAGATGCTAACGAATGCGCAGTGCTATGAGTTGGGGCAGGGGCAGTAGTTGTGACCCCATTTTACAGATGGGGAAATGGAGGCACGGATCAGGGGCGTGACTTGCCCTTGTTCCCACAGCCAAGGAGTAGCAGAGCCTGGACTCAGGCCTGCGTTTCTGGTCCCAGAGGCAGGGCTCTTTCCAGGGCAGCTGGGTGGGAGGTGGGGTAGGGTGGGGTGGGGTGGGAGCTGGGTCCTGAGAACCAGCAGGCCAGAGAGATTTGGAGCTCGGATGGCCAAGTTCAGGAAAGCACAGCTGGGGAGGAGCCAAAGTATTTATTATGCTTGGTCTCCAGCTCCAAACAGAGCTGATGGATGGAGCTTCTGCCGTTCCTATAAACAGCTTGAGTCTCCCTGCCCTCCACCCTCCCGGTTCTCAGCCACCACAGCTCCAACTGTTTCCAGTGAGATGGGGGGCGGCCAAGGGAGGGAAAGGAGGAGAGAAGCATGGGCGGGGAGGGGCACAGGGGGAGGAACAAAACTAAGGCAGGGTCCCAGAGAAAGGAGGAAGCCGGGGAAACGGAGGGTGGTCAGAAAGGACTCTTCCCGTGCCTCCCTACTGGCCTCTGCGGCCTTGCAGCCCGCACCCCGCATCCCTCTCTATGTCCCCTCTGTGTTCCTTGGGTGTATGTGAGAAGCCTCGTCACCCCATTCTCTGTGTGAGGGCCTGTTTTAATCTCACAAGTATATAAGTCCTGGAGGGCAGGGGCCATGCACTCAGGAAGCCTTTTCTGAACTCACAGGCCCTAGGGACACAGTGAGGACTCAGGGCAGGACCTCCCCCCAGGAGCTCTTGGCCTGGCAGTGGGTCAGGTAGCCGCCGATGCCACGGGCGAGGGCAGCCCGGGGTGTGGGAAGCTGGAGGAGGTGATGGGAGCACGGGCTGCGGGAGGAGGCGTGTGCAGGTGGGCGGTGGGTACAGAGGCGGGAGAGCCTGGCGCTGGGCGGGGGCTGGAGGGGCCGGGCGGCCTACCAGTTAAGCCCGCTGGCTCCAGAGGGGCACAGACCTGGTTTAAGCCTCAGCTCTCTAAAATGAACAATAGAAATGTCTTCGAAGATGGTTAGCACGAAACCACAACAACGTACATCAATCGGCAGCACAGCCTACCCAGAAGTGCCCGGCAGTCGCCAGGTCAGCACGCCGTGGGCGGCGGCGGGGAGAGGGGGCAGGATGGCAGCAGGGCCCCGGCCTGTCAGGGGCAGGTGAGCGGCCCAAAGGACAAGGGCGCTGGACGGCAGATCCCAGGTCCTGACCAGCGCAGGGGCCCTGAGCAGGTGAGGAGCTGGCGGGTCCGGGCTGTGCTAGTGGAGCACCACACCAGCTCCCGGAGCTGAGGGAGCTGGCCCTGGCACCTCAGGTCGACTGTGACAGGGGGCGGCCAGGTCCTCCCTCTCTCTAGAACGTGCTGAGAGCTCGGGAAGCCGGATGCTCTGATGACCTAGTTGGCAGCTGTGTCCACGTTTGGCTGAAAACAGGAATTTCTGCTTCACTGGGGGTCTTGGCCAGGTAAGCAAACTCCCCTGTTTGCCAGGAAAAGGGGTCAGGGGCCTGGTGGGCTCCCGGCTGGATGGGAGGCCCGAGCTGCTGCCTTCCTCTTAGGCCTTCACTGGGCACCACACGCCTCCCCGCCCCAGCCCCACCCCATCAAACAGGCGTTTGAAACTTCCCTGTGGAGCGCAGGAGGCAGAGCAGGAACGAGGAGGTGAGAGGGCACAGGCCAGAGGAGACGCCGGCCGCTGGATCTCCAGGAGGCAGAGCTGCCAGCACGGCCAGGGGCTGCTGGCCTGAGGGGAGGGGTCCAGGGCGCCTGGGGATGGGGGAGCTTGGGGGAGAAGCAGCTGGGAAGGGAGGGCTGGCACCTGCAGGTCTGGGGGTCCGGCTGCTGAGAAAAGGAGCAGGCCACTAGGGGACAATGCCTGGGGCTACAAACAAAACAAAGCAAATCAAAACAAAAACCGGCAGATACCAGGGCCACAGAACCACTGCTTGCCCGCCAGGCTGTGCCCCACCCTCACCACCTCTCTGTGCTCACTTCTTCACCACCCTGACCCAGGACAGGCAGCTCCTGTACCCTCCCCCTGGCCCCACACTCCGCACTCACCCCCCAACTCCCATCCAGGAACCGGGAATGGTCAACTTTCATCTGCAGCCCAGCCGATAGCTGACTAAATTCTCCAACCCCCGGGGGACCTTTCGTCCTTAGCAGGGGAGGCCTGTGGGTACGGGGGCTGGATGCTCAGGAGGGGGGTGCTGGAGAAAGGGACGCAGACCCTGTCCTCAGAGCCATGGAGTGGCTACAGCTATAAGGGCCATGGTGTTCCCCAGGGAAGAGGGCCTGGGATGGAGTTCTGGTGATCACCATTAGAGACGGCCCAAGGAAGGTCAGCACAGACGAGCCCGAACAGGAGTGGACCGAGAGGGAGGAGACACTGTGTGTGAGGTCAGCTGCAGGGAAAGCATCCTGGTGGTGGCACACAGTAGGGGTGCGTGGGGGAGTGGTCCGCTGCAGGGCTCAGGTAGATGAGGTCTGGAAAGTGCCCTGAGTTTGGCAAAGAACACCAGGGAGCCCTGAGCAAGGGCAGTGTGGGGCTGAGGCAGCCACGTGGATTGCAGATGGGGGGTGGGGAGGGAAACTACTTTACCAAAAAGCTGCCTGTGAAGAGTAAGAGAAGGGAAATGTGGTTTAAGGGTCTTTTTACTGTTTTTAAGACGGGCAAGACTTGTGTCCAACTGAAGTCTGAGAGGAAGACGTGAGCAGAGAGGGAGAGGCTGGGGACAGAGGAGAGTGAGTGAGAGAGGAAGGGGCTGGGGACCGCATGGAGAGGGGCAGAGAGGGCCGAGCACAGAGAAAGGAGGGCATGTGGCTGCAGGAGGACGGAAACCAACCATAGTCACCATCCTCTCAGCGTGGGGTGGGGAGCAGGTTATCTACTGAGCGTGAGGGTCAGCGGTGTGGCGGGGGTCATGCTGGTGGCTGAGGCCCTGAGGTCCAGGGTGGCGATGACCCAGAGCCTCTGTGTCCTCAGGGATTTGCCAGAAGGATGGAAAGACCACAGTGGAAGTAGAGGGGGGAAGGGTTCAGGCAGACGCGATGATGCTGGTTGTCCTCAGCAAAGAGGAGGCTGGAGGGCCACACTGTTTCTCCAAAATTATTTTTAATACATTCAGGTGGGTTATACAAAGAGCTGGTCCCTAGGCCTGGGCTGTGGCCGGCTTGTGGGAGTGACAGCAGCACTGTGTAGTGTTTTCAAAGTCAGGCGTGGGGGCCCACACTTTGGTGTTGTGTGCAGTAGCATCTGCGGTCTGATCCCAGCCAGGACTGGGTCCACCCTGCTGCCTGCGCACCACCATGGCCTAGCCCTGGCTCTGCCCATTGACTATCCCTTAAACCCTTTGGGCCTCAGTTTTCATATCTGTAAAATGGGAGGAGAGAGTATGGCACTTTCATTTTTTCACACATGACCAAGGGCCCTGAGCCAGACCATGGGCTGAGCACAGGTAAGACAATGAAGACAGTGACACAGGGTCTCGGGCTGGTCCCAGGGCTTCCTTTCTTCCCAGACAGCTCCTGACTCCATGGTACGAGGGACAGGGAATTATCTGGTGGGCCTTTCCACTTGTTTCTTTTTCAGAGGAAAAAGAAATCCTGTCATGATGAGGAACAGAAAGAAACTTTGGAGCCAGCATCATCTTGTGACGTGACAGCCGAGAGAGGACACTACTCAGGCCCAACCCCAACCCCACCCCCAAACAGGGTCTGAGTCTTCTTGTTTAGTGGCTCTGCCACCAACTTGTGCAATTCTGAGCAAGTCCCATTCTCTTCCTAAGCCTCAGTGCCCCTCTCTGTATAATGGGGAGGTTGGACTCCAGGGTCTCAAACTCCAGGCTCTACTCCACGGATGAAAGGGAATGAGGAATACAAGAGCAGGAAGAGAAACAGGAGAACCCACACCAGTGTGCAAAGGGGGAAATGAGGGAAACTGAGGCGAAGAGGGAGGGGAGGGCCTGCAGCGTCCTGTCTTCTTTGCTGGCCTGGGAGAGAGGAGAGAGTGGGTGTGCACAGCACAGGACGCTCCCAGGCCCTGTGGGCCATGTGGGGCCGTGTGGGGCCACTTCCTGTCCACCTAACAGCTGGCAGCCCCAACAGTGGCAAAGCTCGGCCCCTAGGGACAGAAGGATGTGGATCTGAATCTCAGCTGTGGCATTTATTAGCTGTGGGGCCCAGAAGGAGACTTATGGAGCCTTAGTTTCCTCTTTTGTAAAATGGGGATAAAATACCAACCGCCAAGAGTTGCCATACAGAGGCAGACACAAGGCTTGGATTTGCATCGAAGCTGCCAAGCCGAGTGCAAAACAGAACCAGATATCTAAGGTTCTAACGCTGGCTCGGCAGCCAGGGTGGGGCTGGAATGGGGAAAGAAGGGGGCTGGAGGGGGGGTTAGGGCAGAATCGGGGTCAGGGTGCACAACATGAGAATGTCAGGTGGGGAAAGAGCCTGTCAGAGCAGGAAACGGAATGGCCCCGTGCTGGGCTGGAGCCCAGGGTGACAACCTCTTAACCAGCCCCTGCTGGAGCTGCCACAGCTCGCCGAACAGCCACTGGATCCAAGACATGCTCATATGGCTCCAGTTCTCTCTTCCGGTCACAAGCTCCTCGTTTTCAGAGGGGCTGAAAGTCATTATCAGATGTGACAAGTAGTCTGCTTGGAAACGTCTCAGACAATCCTCCTGGGCTTGGCCCTCCCTTGCCCTGGCGTGGCCGGGCAGGACTCTCCACGCCGACCCGCGGGGGCTGCAGAGCTCTGGAGCCCTGGGCTTCCACGCCCTGAGGCCCAGCCGCACTGTGTGGTCATGGCACGGCTCCACGACAACCTCTCCTACCAGACTGGGAGGTTCTTGAGGTCAGGAATGTGTCTCATTTACCAGCGTCCCCAGTGTCCAGAGCAGGGCATGGCACAAAACAGATGCCCAGTGAAGGTGTGTTGATCCGATGGGTCAACATTGTTCTCTGCTGCCCCTGACACTGCCCAACTTCCGACTTCCACAGCTGGACCCAAGGGCGGCCTGGGAAGTGGGTCACCTGCCTATGCAGCAGAATGCAGAGAAAGGAGCCCCAGGCTGGGATTTAGACAGCAGGGTTCTTGGACCCTGGCTCATTGTGTGACCTTGGGTCAGTCCTCACCCTCCTCTGTGCCTCTGGCTCCCTCACTGACCTGAAAGTGTCCCCCAGCCTCTTCAGGCTTTGTACTGTTGGTTGAACTTCTGCCGGCGGACGCAGCAACAGGTGGCCAGCATGGTGAGCAGGACGGCAGAGACCAGTGTGAAGGTGAGGATGATGACGAGGTTGACGTTCTTGAGCCCCCCTTTCTCACAGTCCTCAGGACGCACATGGCTCAAGGACACCTTCTCCTGGGAACCGAGGTGACAGGCCAGGTCCTGGGTGGCGTCCACGTCCACACGGCCCTGGTGCAGCTGGGCCGCCAGCCAGCCATTGCCACAGCAGCTCAGCGGATTCCCCTGAAGGTAGAGGCGCCGGAGGCTGGTCTCCAGGCCGCCCATGGCGCTGCCTGGCAGGAGGCTGAAGCTGTTGTTCCGCAGGTCCAGCACCTCCAGTGACACGGCCTGTGTCCAGGCAGGCAGGTGGCTGAGGCGGTTCTGGGCCAGATTGAGCCTCTTGAGGCAGCTGAAGCAGGGCAGGTCCACCTGCAGGACCACCAGCCCATTGCCCTGCAGAGCCAGGACCTCCAAGGAGGTCTCCAGGCCTGCCAAGGCCCCTGTGGCCACATCCAGCCCAGGGTTGGCAGAGAGGTCCAGCTCAGTGAGTGGCGTGTGGAGGAAGGCCCCTGCCCTGAGAACCTCCATCTCATTGTCCACCAGGTTCAGGATGCGGAGGGAGGAGATGCCAGAGAAGGCCACACATCCTGAGGGACCAGGCTCCCCCGGCCCCCCACAGGGGCTGACCCGGTTCCCCTGCAGGTTGAGCCTCTGTAGGCTGCTCAGGCTAGCAAAGGTGTAGGGGGGCAGGTCCCGCAGGGCGTTGTCCTGGAGGAGCAGTGTCCGCAGGGACCCCAGGGCTCTGGCGCTCAGTTCTAGTGCCTCCAGCGCATTGTGGCTTAAGTCCAGGAGCACCAGGCAGGGCAGGGTGCCCAAGCGCCGGGCCTCGAAGGCCCGCAAGCAGTTTCGGCTGAGGTTCAAGAAGCGCAGGGAGGTCAGGCGCTCAAGAAAGCCGTCAGGGACGAGCTCGATCTCATTATAGCTCAAATCCAGATTCAAGAGCTGGGAGAAGGGATGGGCGCTGGCGTTCCAGCTGGGGTTTGAGAGCCGCAAGGCTGACCAGCCCTCGGAAGGCGCGTGGATGCCCTCGCTGCCCTGGGGCGGCCCCGCAGGGAGACGGATGAGGTTGTTGGACACGTTCAGGTAGATGAGTCTCGGGAGCTCGGCCAGGTCAGGGAAATGGAGCAGTTTGTTCTCCCGCAGGTCCAGCCAGGCGAGCTGGTATTCGGCCTGGGGCTCGGGGGCCGTCTGAAAGGCCTCGATGCTGTTGCAGCTCAGGTCGAGCACCCGCAGCTGCTGCAGGCTGAAGTCGGAGATGCAAGTGAGGGAATTCCTGGAGAGATTGAGGTGGGCCAGGCGGGGCAGGGCCTCGAAAGCACCGTCCTCGATGTCCATCAGCACGTTGCTGTGCAGGTCGAGCCGCTCCAGGGCGGGCATGCCGCGGAACGTGTGGCGGCTGAGGCGCGTCAGGCTGTTCTCTGCCAGCGACAGGCTGCGCAAGCTGGGTGCCTCCCCCAGCAGCCGCTCCACCAGGCCGCTGTACAGGCTGTTCCCGGACAGGTCCAGGGAGGTCACGTGTGGCAGGGGACCCAGACCGCTGGCACTCAGCGCAGTGCCCACCGCCAGGCGGTTGTGGGCCAGGCTGAGGTGCTCTAGGTGGGGCAGGGCCTGGAAGACGCCCGGTTGGAGGAAGCTGATCTCGTTGGTGCTCAGGTCCAGGTGACGAAGTGCTGTGTAGAAGCCCAGAGGTGAGGACAGGACACTCTGCAGCTGGTTTCCAGATAGATCAAGGGCCTCAGTGTCCAGCGGGAGTACCGAGGGGACCTGGAGCAGGCCCAGGCCCTGGCAGGAGACCTCCTTGTCCACCTGCAGGAGCGGGGAGGACAGCAGCCGGCGTGAATGGGTGCAGAAGGGGATGGAAACAGACACCTTTCTCTGGGGAGGATTACTAGCCCCCCACCAGGCATGGGCAGCCTCCTCCTCTGGACTCTCAGAATGCTCGGCTTCCTCCACCACAGCCATCACCCCTGTCTGCGTGGCCATCCCGCTACCTGCCCCATCTCTGGCACCCAGCAAGGTGCTGGGCACAAGGAAGGGACTCACTGAAGGTTCGATGGGTAGACAGATGAGAGAGGATAGACAGATCTACCACAAATGCACTAACAGAGAGGAACCCTGTGCTGATTATTGTCCCATTTCACAGGAAACTGAGCCATATATCACCCAAGCTCTGCCCCCGGGCTCCTGGTTCCACATCTTGGGTCCCCGCTATGGGCACAGATAGTTACATTTCCAGTGTTAGATGGGAATCCACTTTGGGAGAATGTTTCCAAGAGGGAAAACTATAATTTCTGCTCCTGTCATCACTTTTCATGTTGGCCTTTCGCCCCAGATCTCGTTCAAGCTCGCATTCCACGGGCACAGCCGGGGCGCCGGAGCCTGCCTTCCTCGCGACGCTCCCAGATGTGGCCTCCTTTCCGCTGCTGCTGCCTGCGCCCTGTAGGCGGTGGCTTCCTTCCCATGGCCAGTCCAGCCGGGCCCCTGGAGCACAGGGGAAAAGATGGCCAGGGCCCAACCCACGGTCTTTGGTGACAGGACTGCTCGTGCTGTGTGACCTCCATCAAGTCACATTACCACTCTGGTTTCTTATCCAGAAAGTAACTCATCCTTCCCTAGCACCCACATGACATTTTACACTGTGTCTAACACTGTCAGGTCTGTGGTCTCATTGGTCTTTCATAGCAGCCCACCTGTCTGGTGTGGTCACCCTACTGACAGAAACCCAGGCTCAGAGAGGGAAGGGAGGCTCCGGGATTACCCAGCTGGAGAGAAGCAGGGCTGGGATTTGAACCCAGGTCTTTTAACAACCAAAGGCCCCACTCTTGTCTTTCCACAGAATGTGCCTTCTGGGGCCAGAATTCTTTTTGTGCAAATGCAGGTCTCCTTTCATTTCTTCCAACGCCCCAGGAACCTCAGCCTTTCCCCACAAAGGGTCTGACTTCCTCAACCACCCAGCTCAGGCCCCTCCTGCCCCCAGCCTCTGTGTCTCCACCGACCCCTTCCGCCCCATCCTTTCTCCAAATGCCTGGCAACTGCTCAAAAGCTCCGCTCTGTGTTGCACCTCTGCTTAAACCCCTCCCCGGCAAAGTCCAGGAGCCTCAGCAGGGGTGTTCAAGGCTGTGGCCCCTGCCAACCTGTCCCCTCACCTCCCAGCCCATCCCAATCCAGCCCGCATGCAGTGACCACACCTGACCTCGGCCCATCACGGCCTCCCACACACCCCGCTGGGCCTCGTCTCTGTGCTGGTTGTGCCACCCTGACCGGATCCACTGGGCTCCCTGGCTGTGCTCCTTCTCTCATGGCTTTGCCACCCTGAATCGTGACTGTGTGGGGACCTGCTGGACGGTGAGCTCAGAGCAAACAGAGACTGTTTTGGGGACATGGATGCTCTGGACCTGACCTACAGGAGGTGCTCAGTCATTTTTTCTAATGAACGAGATTCACAGGTATCATCGGTTTAGCAAAGGCCTGAGGCATTGAATCAATCCCCTCTCCAGAGGAAAGAAGAGATGATCCACATATTCGGATTAGAGCCAAAGACTGTTAGAGCAAACAGAGTGCAGCCCACCCACTTCCCAGATGGGGAGACTGAGGCCTGGAGATGGCAGTGACTTGCACAAGGTCACAGTGGCTGAGCTGGCAGAGCAGAAACATGAGCCTGGATGTTCCTGGCCTGGCTCAGCTCTGTGCTTCCTCTCGAGAGCCCCGAGGCGGGTGGGGTAAGGAACAGCTGCCCAGTTGCAGACACCTGTGTGATTCTTCCTACTGAAGGCAGTACAGTGACTGGCCCTACAAGCTCCAGGGCAGGCAGCATCCTCAAGGTCCAGACCCAGGGACACCCCACAGTTGGGCACCCATGGAAACCAGAAACCCACCCTGGCTACCTTGCCAGTCCTTGCCCCTTCCTCCCTCCCAGCCTCCCTGCCTGCTGGGGCCACTAAGCATAGCCTCCCCTGCACTACCAGCGCCCTGGGCATTTCTGACTTAAAGAAGAAACAACAACATGAATACCATGACCACCATTGTTGGGTGGTCAGGCTCGTGTCAGGCTTCAGGGTGCAGAGACCCCTCCTTTAATCCTCCAGGCATTGTGGCCCCATTCCTATTGTACCCCCTAAGGAAACTGAGGCTTAGTGGGGTGGGCTGCCCCAAATCAGTTAGCTGGGGGCTCAAAACTACCGTTTTTGAGTTCCTTTTCCTATTGGGGCAAGACGAGTTCTGGCCCTTGGGCCCTCAGCTGGCCAAGCCCCCGGGCCGATTCCCTCAGCACAGTAAATAACACTAGGCACCATTTACGGAGCCTTATGGTATGGGGGGCACAGTGTGGTGCTTCATATGCTACCCCACATGCAAACCCAGAGGCATAACACCTGTGGATCAGCAAAGCTTCCCTGGGGCCCCAGCGCCTGAGAGTTGAGCCAAGACACGAAGCTGGCCAAGCCCGGAGCCCAAGACTTGCTTTCTACGCAGGTGTACAGGACCCCTGCTCTAGAGGCCGGGCAGCTGCTGGTGGGCAGGGTCGCACTGGGACAGCCAGCTCTCCCATCCGGTCCAGGAAGGAGTCTGAGGCCAGGGCAGTGCTCAGCACTCCATTTCTAGGGTCCCCACGCCTCAGAGGCCCAGCACCGCCTGATTTGCAGGGGGAGGAATCTTAGAGGAATTGGGCCTGTCCCCTGAGTTTAGGGCTTCCATCCACTGTCTCTGGGATTTCAGGATACCACTGCCCAGCTTCTTTTGCAGGAGGAAAGAGGACTTGCCATCCAGCTCCATTTTACCACATGCACGTGGGAGGGAAACAGGGTAGGAGAGGCGCCAGGTGGTGGACAGCATAATGGAGAGCCGGGCTCAAATCCTGGCTCTGTCACCTCCTATCTGTAGGCCCCTGGTGGGTCACACGTCTTCTCTGTATCTCCTGAGTGTATTATACTCCATGCTGGTTCAGAAAGTGCTTTCTTGTCTATCATCTCATTTCCCCAGCATCCAAAGCTCGCCCCGCTTCCCCTGTGCCAGTCGGTGGCCAAGGCCCTTCACCTCTGAGCCTCAGTCTCCCCAAGGTAGACTGTGCATCTGTATTTGGTGACGTCTGAGGCCTTCTCTGCCCACTATTCTGGTTCTGGGAATCTTGGGCCTCTGAGAGTGGTGGCGACAGCCAACATTTGCACCCTGGGGAAGGGCCACTAGCAGGTGGCTGCCAGCACTTCTGGCCTCCTGAAGCAGCCTGCCATTCCGTGTCACAAGCTCTGAGTCCCAGGTCCAAGTGGGGCTGCTAGAGGACCTGTCCTTTCCCCAGCCAGTCTCCGGCTTTGGTCTCAGTGACTGCCTAGCCTCATAAATGGACCTAGGTAGTCTCTTTCTCCTGTACCTCACAGCGTCACAGGAACTTTAGGGATAGTTTCCCTGTCTTGGGGCAGAAAAAAGGAACAAAAAGCAAATCAAATATGGCCCTTGCCCTAGAGAAGATCTTGGTCTGGCAGGTGAGACTGGCTTGAGCCCTTTCACCGACCATGTGCTTGGTGTGCTCGGTATTGAGACAAAGGGAAGCTTGGGGACTGCAGGAACCCAGAGGAGGGAGCAACCGGACTAGGTCAGCCTGGGAGGGTCAGGGGAGGCTTCCTAGAGGAGGCAGCATTTGACCTGCACAATAATAAGTGAGAGGCATCCTAGCAGGTAGTTCCAGATCAAGAAGCCCAGTTAGGGAAGGGAATTTGTCCCCAGGAGAGACCAGAACAGAGTAGTCCCTCCCGGCTAGCCCATCCCCAACCCCCACACATATACACATTCCGGATCCCCCAGCTGGGCCACTGCCCTGTGGGGACAGCTTGGAGGAATAGAGTCTAGTATCGGCCCCACTGTTCCTAGCTGAATGACCTTGGACAAGTCACCTAACCTCTCCAAGCCTCAATTACTAGCTTTGTAAAATGGGAATAATGGAGCTTACCTGGCAGGATTGTTGGGTAAACAACATATTTAAACATCCTAGTAGGTGCTCACTAAATGCAAAATATATCCCCTTTCTTCTCCTGACTCTTCTAACTCTGGCTTCTGGGGCTGGGGATGTAGGACACCCTAGGCTGGGGAGATGGGGGTGGCCCCTACCCTGCCTGGGCATCTTACCATCTTACAGGGCACCTTGTCTCGGTGTTGGGAGGCAGCCAGGCCTAGGGTCAGCACGGCCAGGAGCAGCAGGATCAGGTGGCACATGGCTCTGCGTAGGGTGAGGAGGAAAGGGGAACACTGTGAGACCACTGGCTCCTTCCCACTGGCAGCCCCCTGCCCCCACCCTGTCTGGGCCTGCCATCGGGAAACCCCAGACCACAGCTGGGGCTGGAATAAAGGTGCCATGAACAGGGAAGGGAGCAGGGTGGGAAATGGGGCTATAGCCTGTCACAGAGGGCCTCTGACACCAGGCCGAGGAGCTGGACCATCACCCAGGGGAAGCAAGAGTTTTAAAGCAGTGGGTGACTTGGTCAGATATGGGTTTTCAAAAGCCCTAATCCAGTGAAAGACAGCCTGGAGGGGTTGTGCAGGAGGCAGAGGGACCCTAAGGGCTGCCCTGGGCCACTGTCAGGGCCTGGGGGTGGGTGGGACAGAGACAGGTGGGCCCCTGACCCCATTCCCACCCAGGCCACAAGCAGGTCCTCCCATCCTATCCTCCAGCCCCACATGGAATTCCTCATTCTCTGCCCCTCCCCCCACTCTTATTTTGCCCTTTTTCTTTTGATTCTGATTCTCGAGCCATTGCCATTGTTCACGGGCTGAGCCCGGGCCCTGACAGGAAGCCGCACAGGAGGCTGCCCTGCCCTGGCGCTGTGCTGCGGACTTCCCCAGGAGCAGGCCGCCAGGCCCTGTACTTTCACTGAAGCCACACTCCATGAACAGCCTGGGGGGTGGCGTGAGGGGGCCACACAGGCCCTGGCACGGCTGAATCCCAGTGTGTCTGGGGGTTCACTCACTCCCTCACCGAGGACAGGAGCCAAGTGCAAGGGATATACAAATCCAGCCATCAATTACATTCATTCATTCATTCATATCTACTAAATGCCTCCTCATATTTGGCTCTGCCTTGAGAACAGAACACAAAAACATGCATAGAAATGACCATAATATGGACAGAGACTATGAACAAGGAAGGACACATAAAGCCCTCCAAGAGCACTGGACTCAGAGCCACCCACATCCGACTGTTCCCTCCCGTCTCCTCTGCTTACTACTGTGTGACCTCGTACAAGCCACTTCACCTCTCTGAGCCTCAGTTTCCTCATCTGAGGTTAATGACAGCCACACCAAGTTTTGTCGAGGACCAAATGAGATATATTCTATGAAAATGCCACTTACAGAGCCCTCATTATGCACTAGGCACTCTTCTCAAAATTTATAAGTATTAACTCATTTAATCCTCACAATAATCCCCTGGCTTGGTTCCATTATCACCTTTCCCATTTTACAGAAGAGAAAACTGAGGCTCAGACAAGTTAAATAATATGCCCAAGGTCACACAGCTAACAAGTGGCAGGACCAGGCAAGTCTGGCCCCTGGGTCTGTGTCCTTAACCTCTCCACTGTAAGGTCTCCCACAGTGAGCGCTCAGTAAATGAGTGCTGAGTGGTGACTCTGAAGGATGCTTTAGGAGAAAAGGCATTTACAGGGCTTCTGAGGGCTGTGTCCTCCACTGCAATGAATTTTAAATGAAGATGGCAGCTCTGAGGTCCTTTCAAGGACCACAGTGGTACCTGTTAACCCCTATTCCCTGGTTCCCCTCAGGGCCACAGGCCTGTCCCCACCACCGCTCTGTTCTCACCTGGATCACAGGTTGCACATTCACAGGAAATTTGGTTTTACTGTTTGAAAAACAGAACGTCAGCACCCGTCTGAAAGCTAGCCTACTCAGAATTGAGTGAAAACCCTTCTAGGGGCCTTCAAAGGCACTGGGGAGTGTGAGCCCGTCCAGCTCTGCTCCCCAACCTCCTGTCTCACTGGCGCCTCTCGCACCCTGGGTTCTGGGGGCCTCACATGTCCTCTGGTTCCCTGCTCCAAACCATCACGTCTTCTCCTCTCCTCTCCTGCTGAATACCTCCTCATCTTTCAGGTCTTAGCTTAGATGTCACCTCATCCAAGAAGCCTTCTTTGCTTCCCCAAGTCTGGCTACATCCTCCAGTCCTCCCAGAGCCCCTAAGCTTCTCCCAGAGCACAGCGCCAAGCACTCATGGTTGGTTTACCCCACCCCCTCCTACGGGGATGCCCCTAGAGCAGGGAGGACTCACTCTCCTCTGAGACCAGTCTTATAGCACATGACAGGCCAGGGGTGGCACAGAGAATTGATGCTAGGAGTCTTGGTGACATGGTGGCACTGGCAAGAGCAGTTCTCCTTGACTTTTTCCCTCACCTCCCTGCCACATTTCCTTCCCCCCTTCAGCGGGTTCTGACTGCTTTCCCCAAAAAACAGACCCCAGATGCACCCACCTCCCTCCACCATCACTGCCACAGACTGAGCCACCACCCCAATCCTGGGCCTTGACCACAGCAATGGCCACCTCAGTCATTTGCTTCCTTGCTTCCACCCTGAGCCCTTATAATCTGTCCTACACATAGCAGCCAGAGTGAAATTTTAAAATTATATATCAGGTCACAAATCTTTACTATTTGAAAATCTTTGATAAACTCCAAGCTTTACACAATCTCCTCTCTAACTCCATTGACCATTTTCCCTTCCCTCACCAAATTCCAGCTTTTTCACTGTTCCTTAAACACAGTAAGTTCATTCCTGCCTTGGGCCTTTGCACCTGCTGTTCCCTCTGCCTGGAATGCTCTTCCTGCTCCTCACATGTTTTTTTTTTTTGTTTTTTGAGACAGAGTCTCACTCTTTTGCCCGGGCTAGAGTGCCGTGGCGTCATCCTAGCTCACAGCAACCTCAAACTCCTGGGCTCAAGCGATCCTCCTGCCTCAGCCTCCTGAGTAGCTGGGACTACAGGCATGCGCCACCATGCCCGGCTAATTTTTTCTATATATTTTTAGTTGTCCGATTAATTTCTTTCTATTTTTAGTAGAGAGGGGGTCTCGCTCTTGCTCAGGCTGGTTTCGAACTCCTGAGTTCAAACAATCCGCCAGCCTCAGCCTTCCAGAGAGCTAGGATTACAGGAGTGAGCCACTGCGCCCGGCCCTTCTATTTCTTATTCTATGGGAACAGCAGCCTGCTGAGTGGCTGCTCACTAAAGATCTAGTGAACAAGTGGGAAGCGGGGGCAGAAGCTCACTGCAGTGGACTGAGTAGCGTGTGCGAGTTGAGGACAAGGAAGGGTCCTGGTTCGGTTCTGAGCCTGAGGGCAGAGAGGCCAAAGGGGCCCTTATTTCCTCCTCTTCTACCAAATCCCAGCCTACCCCCAAGGCCATGTGCACATCCAGGAAGGACCGTCCCTACAGCACGTGGCAACTCTGCCCTGGCATGTGACAGGAGGGAAGAGGCCTGTCAGCTGTGGGTACTCCTCGGTGGTGCCCAAGACACAGTATGTAGGATGTAAGGGTGATTCTTTCCCAGAAGGGAAGACTGGGGTCACTTAGGCCCAGTCTCAAATCCAAATTCCATCACTCACCAACCCTGCTCCCTGGGGCTCCCTTAACCTCTCCGTGCCTTAGTGTCCCACCTGTAAGGCAAGCAGCCTGGTTCCCATCTGCCACTGGCCACCCCCAGCCATTGTAATGATCAAGCAGAGAATGGCTGTGAAGGTGCCCTAGATACTTATTGTCCTTCCCAGCTGGGACAGTGACCCACAGGGCTGAGCATCCCAGATGAGGTGTGCTGAGGCCGGAGGCCCCAGGCCCGCAGACCAGTGGCCTAGGCAAGAGGAGGCAGCAGACTCTCAGGACTCTGAAAGAGCGTGTGTGTGTGTGTGTGTGTGTGTGTGTGTGTGTGTGAGAGAGAGAGAGAGAGAGAGAGAGAGAGAGAGAGAGATGGGGGTGGGGGGCCAATGACACCTATCAAAATAAGCCCATCCCAACTACTTAAGGATGTTAGACATTCTTCTAAGCACTTGACCCATATCATCTCATTTAATTCTAACAACCACCCATTGAGGCAATTACTGTTTAATTTCGATTTTACAGATAAGAAAACTGAGGCTCTGAAAGGTGAGGTGACTTACCCTCAGTTACCCAGCTCCTAAGTGTCCTGGAGCTGGGATTTATCCAGGTCTATGCGCTGTGTTTTCTCTAGCACGTGCTAAGCTGACTGCCCCTATAGAACTGTCCCCATTTTGCCCATGAAGAAAAGGAGGCTCAGAGAAGTGACTTACCCAAAGTCACACAGGCAGCAGATTGCAGAGTCAGGATCAGAATCTAGTCCATCTGCCTCCAAAGCAAATGTTTCCACCACACCAGGCCAAGATTCCCCTCCCTAGCCCCGGCCAGCGACCCCTCACACACAGGCACTGGAGCAGAGCAGACCGGCTCGCAGCTGGGCTCTGGGGTCCTCCCTCTCCCTCCTCTCAGCCTCCATCTGACTTACTGGCAGAGCGGGGTCCTGGGAGATCTGCTGCGGACGTTCCCGCTGAGCAGTGAATCACTACGGGCAAGCCCCGTTCTGGAGACATGTGCATCCCACGGGGGAATTAGACCTTAACCCAAAGGAATGTGGCTGTGATGGCGGAATTTCAGGCAGCTCGGGGCGGGGGTGGGGGTCCCTCACATCTTACCAACCATGAAGAAGGCTGGCTTCAGAGCCCTTTGCAGAGCGGTGGGTGCCCCCACCCCCACCGCGAGAGCTGGGCAGGCTGCCTAGTGCGGTGGGTCAGGCGGCCCCACGCTGGGCCGTGATCGAAGCGTGGTAGGAACCCTGCATTCAAATCCTGGTCTGCCCTGGACTCGCTGTGTGTGTGTCCCTGGGCAAGTCCCGGTCTTCGTGTCATTGTTTTCCCAGCTGTCAAATGGGAACGCCGGCCTCACCCCTTCGCGGGAAAGATCAGCGGAGACAGGAGCCTCGGAAACGTCTCAGGGGCTGAGGGAGGACGAGCCCCGTGTCCAGGCACGAAAGCGGGGCGGTGGGACGGGAGCGCTGGCCCGGCCCGGCTCACGAGGGCGCGGGACGGTGGGCTCCCCAGGGGCCGGCCAGCCTCGCCGCGGGCGGCTCCTACCTGGTCAGCGCGGCCGCAGCTCCTGTCCCGGGCAGCCTCGGCACATTTTGCGCAGCCCTGCCCCGCGCGCCCACCCCACGCCAGACCCCGGGTCACGGCCCGAGGAGGCGCACGGGCGTTCCACTGCCCCGCGGGAGCCGGCCGGGCTCGGGCTCCAATTTAAACACCTCTCCCGCCCACCCGCCCACCACGCCCCCCTCCGGCGACGCCGCGGGGTCCTAGCGCCCGCCACGCGTGACTCGGTTTATCCGGAACCGCGGGTCGCGGGTGAAGCATCTTCTTCAGGGAAGAGCGGGGGAGAAGAGGACGGGCTGAAGGACCGGGAGGGAGAGGGGTCGCAAAGGAAGCGCCGTGGGCCGAGGCCCGGTGGTGGCAGCCGCACGTGCAGTAGGCGGCCCGCGGGGTCCCTAGAGGCGGGTGGCTCTAGGAGCCGTAGGTCCTCAGAGGAAATCCCGCCTGGCCCCGATTTCCCAGCTGCCGGTGCCGCGGCACTTACTCGCGGCAAACAGGAGAGGTGCCGGCAGGGCCGAATGAGGAAGGAAATGACCCTTCACTGGCCCTGGGGTGGCCACGGAGGGGGTTCCCCTCACCACTGCCGTCCCCTCTGTTGGGTCCAGGCAGATCACTTCTCCTCTCTGGATTGTGCTCTAGTGTCTAGACCCGTCCTCCTCCATCGTCTCCCAGACCCCTAACAGCCTGTGAAACAGCACCATCAAAGTCTCCAGTTTTCAGATGGAGAAACTGAGGCTAGGGGTGGCGACAGTGAATATAAATAAAAACCAATTGTCTGAGACTAGTAAGGTCCCTGTCTACAGTTGGGGAAACTGAGGCTCAGAAAGGTTAAATGACGTATTCAAAGTCACGCAGCTTATAAGAGTCAGAGATTTGAGCCCTATCTGTTCAAAAAGCTGAGTCAAGACCAGTTTGGGCATCATATTGCCCAAATTTTTTAAGTACTGTGCAAAAATGGGGAGGCAGTATTGTCTTTTACATCAGGGGTTGAAGCAGATCTTCCCTGAAGCTGCCTCTCTTCTGGATGCCTTGGCCCTACCACATCACAGGTACTCTGCCCTGCCGCATGTGGACTCCAGGATGGGGGTCCCTGGGGAAGGGGTCATGACTGTCCTCCAGGCTCTGGTTCCGAGGGTAGAAGGTTCCTCTTCCTCAATGTTTCTCTCCCCTGGTGGTCACCAGCCCTGAGAGTGGGGCAGGTTGCTCCATTTTACAGGCATGAAAGTGAGCACCCGAGGCCTTGTGGCAAATCAGGGTAAAGCTAGACTTAGAAGCTGGATTCCCTGAAGCCTATATAGCTGCTGCCTTTTCTTCCTCCCATCCAGTCCACTGTGGAGACAGACCTGGACACGTGGGGTTAACCCAAAGAGGACAAGCCATGACAGCAAGTAGCTCAGGGCTCTGACCTAGCCTCAGAGGAGGAAATCAGGGAAGGCTTCCCTAAGGTGGAGGCCTGAGTTGCAGTGAGGGGGTAGGTAGGAAGTGCAGGTAAAGGACCACTCAGCAGGGCCTGGGAAGAGTATCTGAACTTCCCCTTCCCTCTCATCCACCCGAGGCCTCAGATCTCTGCCCACAGGAGTCCTAGCTGGTCCTCTCTGGGCTCTAGTACTCTATTTGGTCAAATGGAACCTTAGCGATTCTGTCCGTAAAGTGGGAAAGATATTAGGCACTTCCTGGGGTCAGTGCCAGAACTAAGTATAATGGATTCAGGCTGGGGCCTGTACCCACTGGGTGTCAGGTAACTTTTCACTGCCTTTATTGTGGGGATTGGTGGATACTTCTGCTATATCCCAGGGGCTTCCTTTACCAGGTCCTTGGTAAGGGGCCAAATGTCCAGGAAAGTGCTTCGCAGCCACCCTGCATTGTGAGCTGAGCAGAGATTGGCTGTAGGAGATTCAGACGGCTCCTGGCCTCGCCTGTCCCACCTGCTCCCTGCCATCCAGGCCCAGGCTGGCTGACTGCCGCCTCTTCCTTCCCGGAGCTGCCTCCAAGCAGAAACCACTGGGCTGGGGCAGGGCAGGGCTGGGGCGGGGTGGGCTGGGGGTGAGTGGCCCATGTCCCACACGCCCCTAGAGGCTGTGGTTGTGGTTAGTTAGTTTATGGGGTTCCACCTTACTCAGTGCCCGGATGGGGCTCCCCAAGAGTTGGAGACAGATGGGCAACCAAGCCTGCCCACCTGCTGCAGATGCCTCTGGGGACCAGGGGCTAAAAGCCAGGAACCCCACACACTCAGCGCCCCTTCCTTCATCTCTTTACTTCCTCCGCAGTCATGGCAGTCATGTTGTTGTGAGACTTTTGGCAGGTTGCTTGATCGTTCTCATCTCAGTTTGCTAATCTGCAAAGTGAGACTATTAATAGCACCCAATGTATGAAGCTCACACGTAATGTGTGTAAAGTACCTAGTCACGAGGCCTGGCCCATGTTACTTGCTCAGTAAACATGACTTCCCTTCCCTAATGAGCCCTGGTGAATAGAAATGTCCTACACCAGCCCTTGCGGAGCTCCCCGACCCAGTGGGAGGCAGATGAGAACACAGAAGATGACTGATGTCCAGAGGTCTTGAAGGCCAAGTCCAGGAGGCTGAGCTTGCGGAGGAGTGGCGTGTGGGAACTGAGCAGGGTCGGATTGGCCTGGCAGCCATGTAGAGGGTGCTTTCTTTTAAAGGCCACCAAGGTCCGCTTTCCATCCAGTATTGCTTAGCTCCTGCTTGCACACCTCCAGACATGGGGAGTTCCACTGGATGGCCCATCAACCAACAGCTCAGACTTCACAGTGGAACTTTGTGTGGAAATGGTCCATTCCCCCATGCATCTGTCGGTGGCCATAGGAGACACATCTTTCCCTACGTCGTCAGGACTACCATCTGAGATGACAAACCCTCTGAGCCCCGAGTCAGGCTCAAGTCTCCCTGGGTGGGTTTTGCCTCAGACCAGGTTGAAACCTGAGGGTCCTACGCAGGAGCTAGTGGCCCAGAAAGGCAATGATGTGCACATCCTGTGTGACCTTGGGTAAGTTGCTAAACCTCTCTGAGCCTTGTTGTCCTCATCTAACCATAGAACCAGAGTGGGGATGACCATGACACCCTAGACCCCCAATTTATTTTCCACTGATCTTTGAAGAACACCCACTGTGGGCCAGACCTTCATCTCATGTGGCAAATCAGAGTAAAGATAGTCATAGACAACCTTCCAATTAGGTGTCTTTATTCTCCATCTCTGTGTAGGAAATTAAGGCTTGGAGAGGTTAAGTAACTGGCCAAAGTCACACAGCTTTGGAGCCAGGAATTGAACCCAGGTCTCCTGACTCCTAGGCCAGATCTCAGTGAGAAGATATGGCTGCCTTCACTCCCTGCCCCTGCCCAGCACTCACATGGACCCCTGAGAGTCAGGGAGTTCCCCCTGTTAGGGCCCTGCCTTCTAGGGAAGAACTCTGGGTTCCCCAGTTCTTCCCCAGCCACCTGCCCTTTCTCCCTATGGCAAATGGGCCCAGACCATACCAGCTATGGGCGGCCTCCTGGAGGGACGTTATAAAAGGTCGGGTGATGTGTCTCTTGCTGTGAGGAATAGCCGACCCATTTAATGGGAATAATGAGGGCTTGCTGGGCCAGGCTGTGCCAGGTACCTTACTTACCGCCTTCCCATAGCCACGCGAGCAGGGGAGGACTATCCCTGCCTCCTTTTGCAGAAGAGGGGCTGAGGCGCAGAGGGATTCTGTGACTTGCCGGCGGTCATACAGGTGACAGGGCACAGCAGGCACTCCCATCCAAGTCCTCAGGATCCAAGGCCCTCACGGGTGGCCAGGGACTGACTTGGCTGGTTTGCTGTTCTCACTGGGGGCCCGTCACCCCTTCACTGCGGCACTTAGAGATACCACAGCAGGACGAGCAGCCACTGGTGAGGCCCAGGTACCCCTTGGCCGGCACCCAGGAGGCTCCTGGCTCAGAGCCCCATCAGTGACTACTGTGGCTGAGGGTCTGGAGGCTCCCAGTGGCCCCAAGGGAGTGTTAGGTGAGAGAAGTCGAGACTGGGTGAACCAGGCAGGGCAGGATCAGAAGTGTCACCACAGCTTGACTCTGTGCTGAGCCGCAGACCATGAAACCGCAGCGTTGTGCAGCATCGCGGCTGCTGGGAACCCGAGGGCTTGTCCCACTGAGCCGTGCAACTTTTTCTTCCTTTTTAATCATTTGAAAGTTAAACCTGGTGAACCCTTTTCTTGATGATCCAGGGTTTATCAGTGTGGGCTTTGGTTATGGTCCATGAGGTCACAAAGTGTCATCTCCAACGCACCAGCAAGAACAACAGAGCCCAGCGCAGGGCGAGGCGGCTGCAGACCTGTGAGCCCCTCAAGCAGCATTAGTGGGAACAGGGCGCC